TTTTACCGTAGTCATGACGCTATCAAGAGTATGATGTTTATTGACTAGCGTGAATGGGTAAGCTTCGTTTCGACTATGAGCAGTTATCACTGTAAACAATGTTAAATTATTCTTCACATGCTCAGTTTATTTTTTGAGAACAATTATTTAAAAATAAAATCTCTCAGTCAATCAGAAACTCGGATTCATGCCTTCAGGGAAAGTCATGTTTGGACGCTCACATCGATTTGTTTTTCGTTCGGTGGGCTGATGCCTTCAGTGTAGCTTTTGCATCTTCCGACATAGAAATCATCTGAATCTTCTTTCTACCTCTCTTTCTTTTCACACCACGCATAATGTAATGATAAAAATTAAGAAAAAACGCTGAGGAAATATAATGTTTGGTTTGCTAGCGAGCGAGAACTGATTTGAGAATAATTGCACATGCGCGTGAATTGAATGAACTATGACCCGTACAATCTCGATTTGCATATTGTCAATCAAAGGTCTTGTTATTTGGTTACTCATGCAAATTAGGCAATTGGACATAAACATTGCCACGTGTGAGTGTTTTTTATTTTTAACCAGAAAATAAACAGCAATTTTAACGGTGTTCCAATAAGAATTCATTGGTCAAATTTTCACAGAATGTTCTTTAGATAAAAATCTATATAAAAAACGAAAAAAACTATTTTTGATTGAAATTCACAAATAAAGTGCATCTCTACCTTAATTTACCCAAAACTCTGTGCGAATCCCCCTTGATTCTGGCTGCTGGCAATTTTTGTTCATGATATCGTCGGATGTCGGAAAACGCGGGATTCGTGCAGTTTTAAATAAAACCAAGTTAGCGATTATGAACAATGATTATTAACGTAACACCCGATCCCCTCTAAACTTTTTGTTTCGCATTTTAAGGTAAGAAATCGAAATTTGAAAACGACAAGGTGTCGATTTACTAGGTTCCATTTTTCACAACTTGTTTTTTTTATATACGTATAGCGGATGATATTTTTCTTTTTAAAAAATGAGTATTTATTGATTTTCAATCCCCAAGTGACTGGATTCCACGCATGCAATGCAGCATCATGAAAATTGTCTACGGTACACGAACATGCACCTTTCGATGACGTAGAATATTTTGCCAGCCAGCCGAGGACGCCGTACAGAAATTGTATTATAGTTAAGAGCTCGTGCCCTTTTCCACAAATTTAAATATATTCTTAACAATAGTTTTACCTCTAAAACTCTGCACACCATGCTATGATCATTCAGTGTTTTGAAATAAACGACTCATCGCTTAACAAAGCCGATTTTTAGGATTTATTGGCACATGATGTCATGAATCATGGAATCTAATGGCCAAAAATAAACGTGACGTGTCATTGCGGCCAGGGCAGCATGTCATCGCAAAACATTGCATCGCACATAAATTATGACAGCGATTTACTAGGCCTATGGCCTGTGAACTCATATGATTTGTGTGATGTGCACATGCACGGTGCGGCGAGTAACAGTTACAGCCATCGTTGTAACGATGCATTTCAATTTAGTATCTAAAACCAAATTAGGGCCGATATGTGTAAATACTACAGGTATTAATAGTCCATCAAGGCAGCAATAATGAAATTTCAAGAATGGCATTGGCAAAAAGATAACCTCGTATGTAGCCATGTCTAGGAGCATGGATATGATTGGTAGTGTCTATGAATTATGTGATCATGACTAATCTTCATGATCTTTGTTGATCACGCCATTGATTATTCGGCAAAGGCTACCACACACTGTATAATATTGAGCAGAAAGTCATTCAATAATTGCATTTCATTCACAACAGAATTGGCATGGCTGGCTGTACCCAGTCTAACTTTTTCACAGCCATTGTTTGGCCGACTACAATTTTCTCGTGATTTCGGCTGATTTTTGTCACCTGCAAGAAACAGTAAAGGCTCTCATGCTTGTAACGTTGCTATTGTACGTAAATGGCC